TCTGGTAAATTGACAGTGGATGATCTATCAGGTCAGTTGACTGAAGGTGGAGAAGTGCCAGATTCGCCAAGAGTTTTGAACTTAATCTATGCGGCTGTGAGCCTCATTTTATGGACATTTTAATCGTTTTTTTTTGTATAGCAGATACCAATATTTTGTTATATGTAGTCATTTCGCAATCCTTATTTGCGAAATGCAACTTGTTTGCATACAATGGTGAAAGCTGAGTGTGGAGAATGGGGGTAAATAATTTGATTATTACAACAAAAAAAGAAGGAAAAAATTAAGCTCATTCAAAGCAGAGACCAACCCCTATTATGCAGTGGCGAAGCGAGGTTGGGTGTCACCCAGTGCGGTATATATATATATATATATATATATATATATATATATATATATATATATATATATATATATATATACACCATATACACTTGTAAGTATGTGTATACCCAGTGCGGCACCTGATGGTGTCACCCCCCCCCGTAAGAATATATATGCATATATATATATATAAATAAATAAATAAATATATATATATATATATATATATATATATATATATATATATATATATATATATATATATATATATATATATATATATATATATATATACATATATATATATATATATATATATATATATATATATATATATATATACACCATATACACTTGTAAGTATGTGTATATGTATTCAAATATTTTTTTAGCGCAATTTCCATTCTGGAGAATTGTTAGCGCAATTTCCATTCTGGAGAATTGCGATTATTAACTCGTCTTTTCTGGGAATGGATGAATGGATGGATGGATGTGTGTCCGCAGCTTTAAGTCGTATCTCCTCCTCAACGAAGCAATATCGAGGACTAGTTCCAAAAGCAAATATGTTAAGCAAGTTACCAGGATGAACATAGGCCATAAAAATTCCGGGTTTCTTTCATGGATTTCCCGGAAAAGCCAAAAAACCTCGAAAAAATGCAGTTTTTGGCCCATATCTCGGCAACCAGACCACTTAGCGACTTGAAACATGTACCAATCGATTCCTGCCATAATTTAGAACAATATTGCAGAAGAAAGTTTTCAAAAATATCCTTTCGTTCGGTCACAAAATTTTTTTTGAATTAATTAAAATTTGGACCGAATAAGTAGGCATTTTATCCAACCACACCAAACGCGTCATCACGTTCAATAGCTGCGCCATCACGTTCAATGGCTGCGACACCACGTTCGGTAGCTAGGCGCGCAATGGTTTTTAGTCATGTTACTCTATTGTAAATAAAACATGTAAAATACTGAAAAAAAAATTAATAAAAAACGTTTTAATAACTAACCAATGGTTTTACTAACCCTGCTCTTGATTTACGCTACGACAGAGCAATTTTTAGATAACATAAGGAAATTGCGCTAAAATTGTCACTAGACTTTTTTAAATTACTTGTTGCTGGATGTATTTAATTTTATTACCCCCCCCCCCCCACCCCATACATGGATAACATATAAGAGCTTATTACGATTCTCAACCAAACCGTTTTCAACAGGCATATATATTGCAACGTTGAGTTGATGTAACTCTCTCCCCCCCCCCCCCCTCCCCCCCTCGTCACCCCCACGGTGATCGCTTTAAACTGTGCTCAGATAATACTAACGATTTGTTTCTATATTCGGTTATAAATTCAGCTGGATAATGCATGTATTATTTATCATTAGCAGGTTTACGTCATTGTGTCACCCCCCCCCCCTTCACTCGTGTGGGGATTTGTTCACTTTGCTCTCTCTTAAAAGACTATTTAATTCACTCTATTAATCATTTAATAAAGTGAAATTATAATTTTTCTGTATATATTTTGCTATTTTTTGCCTTTGCGTCACCCCCCCCCCCCCCCTAAATGGTGTCACCTGGTGCGTTCCGCTCCCCATGCCCCCCCCCCCCCCCACTCGCTACGCCTCTGCTATTATGAAAGCCGACCCATTAAAAGTATTGTTACCGCCCTGATTTCTTTCATTGAACTTCTTATTGCTGTTTAGCAGGTCGTCAACAATTATGTAGGTCAACACAACAAAAGGGTAACAAACTGGTAAACATACTTTTTTTTTTATTTTAACGGAACAAACTGGTCTCAAAGACAAGACCTCATACACAGCTAAACGATTGGTTCACAGTCAACGAAAACAGCTAAACTACTGGTTCACGGGTAAAAGCGAACCCACAAGACGACCCTTATTAAATATCTTTCTAAGAAAAAACCGTAAGGAAAAAAAAGCGATAATACCTGTTCAATTTGGATGCGTTAGACCTGGTGGCCTAATAAAAACTATCTTATTATAATTTTTTTATTTTTCTGTTCGATTTTCATTTTCAAATACCGCGTTAAGAGGCGTCGCGAGGCGGGGTATGCGGGCCACACCGGTGACACCAATTAGGGGGGGGGGGGGGTGACACCAAGACGAAAAATTGAAAAATATATAGAAGAAAAATGCTTTTTGCCTGTTCAGTTATTGCAAAATTAGTTTAAAAGTCTCGAAAATGCATACACACTCCCACACACACTCACATACCCAGCCCCTCATATATTTTATATATATATATATATATATATATATATATATATATATATATATATATATATATATATATATATATATATATATATACACTTTTTTCCTTTGGTGTGTGTAGGAAATGGGGGCGTGACACCAGGTAGTGCTGCACCGGGTGACACCCGAATGGACACTTGCCCGAATGAGACAAAAGCCCGAATGGAGGAAGTATTGTAATCGTGCAAAAAATCGAAATCGGTGAACACCTCGACTTTTTACACCTCCCGGTGTCGGAAAAACATAGTTTTGCAATTTTGTCCGTATGTATGTGTGTGTCTGTAAACACGATAACTCGAGTATAGTTACAACTAGGTTGATGGAATTTCATATATAAGTATTATAACAAATTTGTAGATTTGTAACAACTTTTCAATGATTTCCGGTAACCGGAAGTGGAACTCTCTACTTTTGGTTTTTCAAAAACCTATAACTCTACCGTTTCAGATAGATAAACGAAATGCATATGAATTTATAAAGTAGGCCTACAAGTATTCCGCACTATTATACACATATTGTTTGCCATTCATTTGGTGCGCAATTCTTTTTTCTTCGAGATTTTATTCTATTTTAAAAAGTTTAAGTAATTAAAAACTGATTAAAACGTATGTCTATATCCCGAGTTGCCATCCCCTGCAGTGTTATATAAGAACTAGGCATGCTGCCCAGCTTCGCTTAGGCTTTCGAAAACATTGAGAATTTGAATGCTTAATTAATTCGCCCGAGGGTCGGTCTACGACCTCAAGAGTTATGAAGAGGTTCCTCCGTGGACATTTTTTTTTAATTTATAGCTCATATAAGGTACCGGTCAGTCGAGGTCAGTTTTGACCCCCTCATCGTAGACTTTTCGGCCAACCGGCCCCCGTGTTCTGTCGCCCCAAGGCAAGATCCTGCCAAATTTGAAGCGCCTGCGGCGCCGGGAAGTGCCCTATCGGACACCCGACAATCTAGATCTAGATTCCTAAAAGAATTTTTTTTTTAAGTTTAGCCCGAGCATAATTAAAAAAAATACATTAACCAAGTTGACTTGGTGTGTCTCGAACCCGCACCACCTGCGTGGTTTAATGTACACTAACATCTCCGCTATTTAGGCACCTTATAATATTCGGAGAATGAAACACGTATTTTAAAATCTTAACTTACGCGAATATGCCTATTCTTTCAAATTAATTTTTTTTATCTCAAATTAGCCAGTTCCAAACAAAGATTTTGTATAAAATAAATAAGTCTTGAAATAGTTTAGTCCTAATATAGAAATTTATTTTTGGAATTGATTTTAGAGAAGTTAGAGTCTAAATCTAGATCTTAGCGTCTACGTCTAGATCTAGTCTAGTTATTGCGTAGATTTAGATTTAGATTTAGAATCTAGTCTAGATCTAGAATCCAAATACATACAATAAATTTTATGAGTTTAGGCCGGAAAAATTGTATTGTATACATTTCATAGTGTACGTAGATCTAAATCAAATTTGAATGAAATAGTTCATTTCTTTTCATTCAAAACACAGCAGATGACGTCATTAGTTAATGTATAAGCAATAGCGACGTCACAGTTTTATGCGTTCTTTTTCACATGTATTAATGCTTTTCCGGTTGCATAAATAATACTGTTTCTCTACATTCGAATACGCCTTTAATTTTTATTTTTCTTCTTTAAGTAAAATTGTGGTTATACATTTAAAACATCTAACATATTATTTTCAACAAAAGTCCGTAAAAAGTTCTCCATATACCGCTGCCGATTCTGACGTGATGTCCGGCGAAAATTTTTTGCGGACAGAGAAAGAGAGAGAGAGAGAGATGTGCGAACGTGGGGATTTATATATTAGGATATTTAAGAAAGTTTAGGGGAGATCACTCCCGCTTTATTTGTTTTTCAAGTACTGATATAAACAAATTCACAATTATAAAAACATGTTTAAAATACAGCCAACAACATCAACTATGTAACAACTTGTAATCCTTTTAGACTAATAACATTCAATCTTCAACTGGCATCTGTAATATAGCTCAATTATCAACTCGTAATCCTTTTAAATCACATTAGTCTTCATTTTTAACTATCATCCATTTCATAACTTCATTTATAACTGTCATCCATATCATTACTTCATTTTTAACTATCATCCATATCATAACTTCATTTATAACTGTCATCCATATTATAACTTCATTTATAACTCTCATCCATATTATAACTTCATTTATTACTGTCATCCATTTAGATGTCAATGAGTGGAATTTCTCTGACAGCTGTGTAATATTGTTCCTGACATCAGAACAAATGTCCAAGGTTTCATGTCAAAAAGTCATGTCAATGAAGTGCCAGGTCAAATTGGTGAGTCAAGGCATTATGTCAAAGAGTGTCTAGAAGTTGCATTAAGGTGTCAAGTAAAAAAATGTGTCTAGTCATACGGTCAAGCTGTCATGCTAAGGTGAAAAGGTCAAGATGTCAGACCTGAATGACTAGTCCCCGTGCCAAGGTGTCAAGTCAAGGTGTCATTCACAAGGTACCATTCACAAGGTGTCATTCACAAGGTGTCATTCACAAGGTGTCATTCACAAGGTGTCATTCACAAGGTGTCATCATGTGAGACTAGAATGACTAGCCCTCACACATCGCCTCCTCTTTAGAACAAACCGCAGCTTCCTCCACCATAGCCTCCGCCTCAGGTACCGGCAAACTGACATCAGGTGCCGGAGACATGACAACAGCAAGGGGGGACTTTGTCCCAACAACTGGGGACCTGGCCCCACCCACTGCGGTCCTGACCCCACCCATCCCAGAAGTCCTGGCACCAGGAGATTTGGCTCTCTGAGCTTTGATGCCCACTGCTGAAGGTTTAGCGTCAGTGACGGGAGACTTGGCAACACCGACAGGAGATTTGGTGCCAAGTGTAGAGCTTTTGGTGCCTAGAACTGCTTGCTTGGCACCTATGACAGATGGTCTTTTAAGTTTGAACAGCTGCATACATAGTCTAAAGTTTTCATGATCTAGGACTCCTGATGGATAAATAGCACTCTGGTCATATTTCTGAAATTAAGAAAAAAAAAATGTTACATGAATTTAAAAAAAAAAACCTATACAATGCAAAAATCTAGGCAAACATATATCAGTATATTAAAAACATTAGCAATTCAACTGAGTATATACATATATATTCTTTAAAATCTCACGACACAATAAAAGTGTAAACAAATTAGAATTACTTTTTATTGATTTATACAATTGGCATATGAGCAAGATATAAACCTGCTAATACAACTAATTAACTTAATAAAAACTGTTATTTCACTGTTAAATTAACCTACCGGATCAATCTTGCATAGCTGCCGTCTAATTTCCAAATCTTTCCTCGCCGTCAGTGCACGTCTAAACATTCCAAAATTGGCCAGCAATCCAGACCTCTCTAGCGTCTTTGCCTTGTTATGCTTGTGGTACGCGGATGTGTCCCCGTACAACTTGAAGACAGGTTTAGTCGCGGGGGTCAAGACCGGGGCCCTGACTGGCTTAGCAAACTCAGTTCGTTTAATCAAACCCTTCTGTGCGGGGATTGTCTGTTTTGGTGGGTCGGCCCCGGGGTCTTGCGTTACGGTGGGTTTAGTTTGGGGTAGGTTGTCTTGACCTGGGGGTAGAGTGTCAGCTGGTGTGAGGCATGGTTCTGGCTTGGTGTCAGGCTGTGACGGCTCTGCCACGTCTGGTTTTGTTTCGCCTGATTCTGCTGCTTCACTTTTTATTTCAAATTTATTTTCTGGGGGAATAATACAATAAGGTGAGAAGCATAAACAAAAGTTGTGTGGGGAAGAGGAAAACTAAACAGATATCAATGAGACAATTTAGTGGCAGTGACTATCTCTTCCTATGGCCCAAAATGATGATAATAATTTCAAAATGGAACAAAATGCGAATGATCTCAGACAACTTTCTCCTACAACCTACATTCTTTTAGTACTCATCGATTAGACTCATCAGCCATAACAAAATATACCAATACTTATTAAAGTACCCTGGCAGTCTGCAGTGCAGATAATGTATTACACCTATTTTTGTGACCTCAGAATCAACCCAAAAATTACTATGCAGTTAAATAAAACAAATACAAAAAGAAATTTAAAATAATGTGCTTTTATGCCCTAAAACATAAAATGAAATCCCCCTAAATTTTACCATAAACATAATCCAAGCCAAAATGTATACTCTAAAGGGAGATATATGATTATGATACTGTATTTCAAAATGCAGCTGTATGTATATTTGGAGTCCACTGACGTGTGTATGTATGTATATGTATGTATATATGTATATATATACATGTGTGTGTGAGTGTATATATATATATATATATATATATATATATATATATATATATATATATAACACATCATTAAAATCAGTAATTTATTATATCGTCTTTAACAGGTAGTAAGTAAAAAGCACTGCAATGTAGAACAATAGTTAAAATTGTTTTACATTGTATATTTATTTATCTAGGGTTTTTCCCATTTAATTTTTTTAAATCCAAGGGCAATAACTTTTACATTTTTTTCAAAAATATGTTTTAAAATATAGAGATGTTCAACAGTAACAAGCTAAAATTCAGATCATTGATCATAAACTACAATATTAAAATGTTTTTTAGAGTTTTAGTCTGAGTTCCTTAAACTATTATTTTCAAATATTGTTTGATGCTAGTCTAAATAGAAAACCATTGGCAAAAGTAAATTTGAATCATAGACAATTGAAAGTTTGTATTTATTACTTGATTAAGCAAAGATTTTGTAACAATTCAACGTGCCTTTTAATATTAACAAAATGTCTAAAAAGACCTTCTAAAAGACTGACACTGTATGGTGGAATGTGGATGTTGGTGGAAACGGTAAAATAAAATAAACAAAAACTTTTTTAAGATTGAGAATAAGCTTTTAAAGACACTGAAAATAAGGAAAAAACTTGCTTCCATTAATAAAAGCATTGGTCACTAAAATATGTAAGAAACTAAGTTTGTTTACTGTCTGATTTTCGGGTTTTTTATATTTGTTTTTATATTTGTTTTAAATTCTTCTTTTTTATAATTCGTTATTAATGAAGCCAATAATTCTTATCCCTGAAACCCAATCAGTATTTTGAAACACATTTATCTCACATTATCTGCCCCTTCTTAGTGGTCAATTCTCAGGCAAGAAACAAACTGTAAAAAAACCAGTTCACCAATGTAAGATAACCTATTGAGATATCACTAGTATTTAATCTTGTTATTTCATCTTCTATTATTGAATACAGTCATTTTTTATCAAATTTTAATGACATTTTTATCTCTAAATTGCTTTAAAATTAGATATTTTTGCATTATCTGGAAATTTTGAACAAAATACTTGCATTAGATGGGTTAAATTTTAATTACAAGATTTGCCACAAACCCACAAACAAGCAAACAAACATTGTGAACTAAATAAATGCTTATAAAAATGGTTTTAACTGTCACTATTATGGCTTCTCCTTTATCTGGCTACAAAGAATGCCATTCCTTAATGACAACTATTAAAGCACCAAACTAAATTTTAGCACCAGATATTTTTTAGAATACCATATTTTTTGACAGATTAGTATTAGGAGCTAACTGGGCTCATAAGAAAACCCTTAAGTTTTCCTAATAAAATATAATTTGGGATATACTCGCCCTATAATACAACACTCAGCATATAAGATGGCCCCTACTTTTGAGATATCCCTGGGTTGTACCTTCTCATAGCCGGAAATTACAGTATTTAGCAACAGCAAATCTTTCCAGCATGAATAATGAATATAAAATCAATCTGAAACACCAGCACCATATTTTTTTTCACCAACAGACCTGGAACAACTTCTGCAGCTGACAGCTCATCCATCTCCCTCTGGCACGCCAGCTCAACTTCTCTGTACAGTTTGTCCCCAGCAAACACCTTGGACAGCCCCATCTCAGAGAACAGGCTCGCTGCCTTGAAGCGCTGGAACACAGGACCAGACAGGGAGCTGGGCTTAGCTGCTGGCATCAGACTGGCAATGTCTATGTCCAAGATGCTTACTATGGCTAAAAAAAAATGTTAAAATCATTGTATCAAGTAAACAATTAAATAAAAGCTTTTGATCTACTTCAGAATCACAAGATGAAAATACAAATTAGCCAAATTATTTTGACTACACTGTGATGATTATAGAGTGAAATTCTTAAAATAAAGTACTATCTAAACTATTTATGCAAGACTATTGATCATGGCATAATGTTCCAATTATATTATTTCTCAAGCATTATATTATACAATAAAACCATGAATTTGCCAAATTATTTTAACTACACTATGCTGACTATGGAGTGAAATTCTTTCTATAAAATACCTTCTAAACTATACATGCAAGACTACTGATCAATCACAAAGGCATTACATTACAATTATATTACAAAAAACATGGATTAGCTCAAATATAATAAATCTGTAATTGAACAACTCTAATAATGACTAAAACCATGGAAAATACTGCAACAAGTACACATTTAATTTGGGCTTATATTATGTTACAGTATTACACAACAAAATATGTTTGACTACATATACTTACTTCTTTTGTTCATACGGTCACCCTCCTCATAAAGATCATTTTCATCAGATGAGATTTCCTCATAGCCCTTATCATCATTGTTACCAGCTTTAGTGCAATGACAATAGGTAAAAGATAAATTAATTTTTTGTCAAGTTTTAGCTGTTAATTTTAGCTAACTTTTACTACTCTGTCAACACAAAATGCTGTAACTTTCTACAAAAAGAGCATAATTCTAGCTTTTAATATTAAAAAAAAATTATGTTGCCACATTTTGTACCAACATCCCCCCACCCCCACCCCAGATATATGACAATTCTTTGACTCAGATTGTATAAAAAAAATACCAAAATGTGAACCAACGCTGATAGCTATTTAATCTAGTCCAATAAAATTCAATGTTCATCTGTATAAAAAATTCTAAATCAAACACTTACGCCGTCTTTTGGCTGGTTTTTCTTTAGGAATATCTTCTATGATCTTCATACGAGGAAGGTTCTTATCCATTAGAGGTCTGAGCAAATAAGAATAAAAAATTTTACGACAAGGTCTAGTAAGAAGGTATTATGTTAGAAAGAAATCAAACAATTGTTTTTACAATAAAATCAGCAGTAGCTGTATTGACACAAAGAAATATAGCTCAAACAGGTCTCTAATTTGATTTCCTGGCTCAAATTTGAAGGCCGTTATGGAGTCAACTCAGCTTTTCTAGGGACCTGACCCCAGGAGACTGTGCATAACAGTGTTCAACACACAATTTGTTATCATACTACGGTCATAAAACATGGACTCTACTTCATATGCCATACATATTGCAAAGTCTGAAAGAAACATTAATTAAAAACAAAAAAATGAACAGAAAATCTTGTACTTGTCTGGCATGAGATCTGAAGATCTTCCACTCTGGTCCATCCTAACATCCCTAATGTCAACCATTCTCCCTGACGTTGCTGGGCTGCGTCTATTTTTGGGGACATCAAAGTCCATTTGATTGTCCCAGTCTTCCACCTGCTGTTAACACGTTTAAAAAAGGTTGAGCAGAATCTAATATATATATATGCTGATTTAATCTTATAAATTGTTGCTCAAATTAGAAAATAAAATCTTATTAATAGACAATCACCCCTTACAACATAACTGGGTATTAATAACAGCAGTAAAATTCTCTTTGACCGAATGTTGATTTTTATTCTAAAAAAACTACTGAATGATCTAAATTTTGCTGTCATATTTGTTTTATATTTAGACAAAACTAAAACATTTTTCTGAATTTTGCTGTTATATTTGTTTTATATTTAGACAAAACTGAAACCTTTTTCTGAATTTTGCTGTAAGATGTTTTATATTTAGAGAAAACTGAAACACTTTTCTGAATTTTGCTGTCATATTTGTTTTATATTTAGACAAAACTGAAACCTTTTTGGTGCTGACACCTACAAGGAGTAACTCTTCTTCATCGTCATCTGTCCAGTCACTGAATGCATCTTGGAGATCATCTAGATGAGAAGAAAAAACATAAGTATCACAACTTGACTTTACCATTTACACTTACACAAAATAGTGTAGCAAAAAAATGTGCAGTCTTATTGGCAATGTAGAAAGTAGTAATTTAGTGTACGTTACCTAAGCCATCGTTTAACATAGCTGCAGCTATGTCGTCACCATCTAGCTTTGTAGGCAGAGATTCTGTTAAAATAAATTGGTGGTGTAGTAAGGTAATATTATTTACTACAGATTAGGACAGAAGAGGAATACATGAGGTCTTGAGTTAATTTAGACAGATAATGAAAAAGAAGGTAAAAATGATAATTTATTGATTACCCTGCCGCTAAAGCTTACCACCTAAGCCACCTCGACATAACATGCTAGTACTTGAATATTCCTTCTGACCCAGCCTTTGACCTCACACCAGAGACCACCAAGACCTAACTGCCTCCCATCCTATCTTCCTAGATGACTTATCCTTCTGACCAACCCTCCCAGAAGACTAATCCTCCAAAGCAACCCTCCCAGTTGACTTTACCCCCCAGCTGACCTACCCCTTGAACAACCCTCCAGATGACCTATCCTAACACTCCTAGATCACCTACTCTCCTGACCAACCCTCCCAGCTGACCTATTCTCCTGACCAACCCTCCCAGATGACCTACTCTCCTGACCAACCCTCCCAGCTGACCTATTCTCCTGACCAACCAACCCAGCTGACCTACTCTCCTGACCAACCCTCCCAGATCACCTATTCTCCTGACCAACCTCCCAGCTGACCTATTCTCCTGACCAACCCTCCCAGATCACCTATTCTCCTGACCAACCTCCCAGCTGACCTATTCTCCTGACCAACCTCCCAGCTGACCTATTCTCCTGACCAACCTCCCAGCTGACCTATTCTCCTGACCAACCCTCTCAGCTGACCTATTCTCCTGACCAACCCTCCTAGATGACCTATTCTCCTGAACAACCCTCCTAGATGACCTATTCTCCTGACCAACCAACCCAGCTGACCTACTCTCCTGACCAACCCTCCCAGATGACCTATTCTCCTGACCAACCAACCCAGATGACCTATTGTCCTGACCAACCCTCCCAGCTGACCTATTCTCCTGACCAACCCTCCCAGCTGACCTATTCTCCTGACCAACCCTCCCAGATGACCTACTCTCCTGACCAATCCTCCCAGCTGACCTATTCTCCTGACCAACCAACCCAGCTGACCTACTCTCCTGACCAACCCTCCCAGATCACCTATTCTCCTGACCAACCTCCCAGCTGACCTATTCTCCTGACCAACCCTCCCAGATCACCTATTCTCCTGACCAACCTCCCAGCTGACCTATTCTCCTGACCAACCTCCCAGCTGACCTATTCTCCTGACCAACCTCCCAGCTGACCTATTCTCCTGACCAACCCTCTCAGCTGACCTATTCTCCTGACCAACCCTCCTAGATGACCTATTCTCCTGACCAACCCTCCTAGATGACCTATTCTCCTGACCAACCAACCCAGCTGACCTACTCTCCTGACCAACCCTCCCAGATGACCTATTCTCCTGACCAACCAACCCAGATGACCTATTGTCCTGACCAACCCTCCCAGCTGACCTACTCTCCTGACCAACCCTCCCAGATGACCTATTGTCCTGACGAACCAACCCAGATGACCTATTGTCCTGACCAGCCCTCCCAGCTGACCTACTCTCCTGACCAACCCTCCCAGATGACCTATCCCTCTAACCACCCAAATGACCAACCCTCCCAGATTACCTACTCTCCTGACCAACACTCCCAGATGACCTACTCTCCTGACCAACCATCCCAGATGACCTATTCCCCTGACCAACCTCCCAGATGACCTAACCTCCTGACTAACCTTCCCAGCTGACCTATTCCCCTGACCAACCCTCCTAGATGACCTACCACTGTCAGAAGATTTCCTCCTCCTCTTCTCATCAGGCTCTCTACTGCTGTGCCTAGACCCTGAATCAGATCTTGTTAGAGACCTTGACCTCTCCCTCTTTTTACTCCTCTCATTTCTCCGCTACAAAATTATCAACATCAAAAACGCAGTTAGGCAACATTCATTACACAACAACTGCATTAAGTTTTTTTCCTCTCATTTCTCTTCTACAGAATTATCAACATCTAAAGCACAGATAACATTCACTACACAACAAACATCAACAACTGCGTTATGTTTTTCTTCTCTCATTTCTCTTCTACAAAATTATCAACAACAAAAATAAAGTTAACATTCACTACATAACATTAACTGAGTTAATTTTTACTCATCTTACAAAATGACAACATCAAAAACACAATTAGTTGACAATCATTACACATCTACAACTGCATTTTGTTTTCCTTATCTCATTTCTCCTCTACAAAATTATCAACATAAAAAATACAATTAGTTGACATTCATTACACAACATCAACAACTGCATTACATTTTTTCCCTCTCATTTCTCTTCTACAAAATTATCAACATCAAAAACACAGTAAGGCAACATTCATTACACGACAACAACTGCATTACGTTTTTTTCTCTCATTTCTCCTCTACAAAATTATCAACATAAAAAAACACTATTAGTCAACATTCACTACACAACAACAACTGCGTTAAGTTTTTCTCATGTAACAAGTAAATTTGAAGAAACTACTCACATCATTTCCTTTGTTGCGCCCCCTATCCCTGTCCTTAACACTTGAAGGTGCTGGGGAGTGGGAGGCTTTGGCTGGGGATTTGACAGGATCAGCTGGACGCTTGGCGCCACCTGGTGACCTGGCTGTACCACGTTTATGTTCCGGTGACTTAGAGGACCTGCGAGATGACTTGGACTGGGAATGTCTGGAGTCTCCACTCTTCTGAGAGCCTTTGGGCGAGGGGGTTCTGGAAGACTTTTCTCTACAATAAACAACAAATGACACAAAAATTAAAGTATCCGGTCTGTTTGAATTTCGTTTTCAGTAGTAGTAAGGGGAAGGTGTGGTCGGGCTAGAGAGCTCATAATTTGGTCCCATGGGCAGATGTGGGTCGTTAGCTGAAGACATCAACTCATTTAGGAGAGATAACTCCAAAATTAATTAATTGCTGTCTTGCTGATTGTTCTTGGATGGACATAGAATATGAAAACAAATCCAGAAAGAGAAGCAGGCTGAATTTGGAGAGCATGGGGCATGTGGTGCATAACATATTGACAAACAATATTTTATGGTGTTGGAGGAAATCCCCCTCAAATATAACAATTAAGAACAAATAAGAAGAAGTAGTTAAATAAAAGCAACACCTACTTTGTTGTATCATCTTTCTTTACACTTCTGTCATCCTTGCTTGCGTCCTTACTTCTGCTGCTCTCTGAAGCCTTAGACACCGGCGCTTTCTTCTCAGGTGGCTTGATGCCTCGTCTAGCAGCCCCCACCCCTGTCTTGCCTTTCTCCTGGGCCTTTGTGTCCTCTGGTTTCTTGGGGCTCTTCTTTCCACCAAAACTTTTACTGGTCGTTTTTTTCTTCAGGCTGACGGTGGTCTCTGTTTGGGAGAACAGGGTAGCCAGAGAGGTTTCATCCCTAGCCATGGGGGACTCCTCTTTCCCGGACTCTGGTTTGGCCTTTGACCCCGTACTCTGCTTGCTGTTGCTGCTGGACTTTTCAGTGGTTCTGCTCTTGCTGTCCTTGTCTGAGACTTTAGCAGAGCTCTCACTCTTGGCATCGGCCCGGGTTCTGTCACTGGCTTCATCTTTAACACTTCTGTCCCGGTCTTTAGAATTTTTTCTCGATGTCGCCTGAGGAGTGCTGTCTCGCGGCTTCCAGTCCCGCTTCTCGGAGTCATCATCGCGGAACCCGGAACCTCTCGGCTGACCCCTGGAGTCAGGAGCAGGGAGAAGTTTCCCTGCATCTCCTCCCCCTCCCAGGTGAGGGAGGAGTCGCTCTTCTCTACCACCTTGCCTCCTTTCTTCTCTTCCTCCTCCAAACTCTCTCCCACCTTCTCTGAAGCTACCGAATCCTCCTCTGCCTTCTCTTTCATTCTCCCACTCATCCCTAAAGTTATCTCCTTCCCTTCTTCCTCTTTCATCCCAGTCTCTGCCTCCTCTGGTCTCTCCTCCTCGTCCTTTAAAATCAAATTTTAAAACTTTAAAAACAAATCATCATCAAAATGTAAAGGAGATTTAATAAGGGGTAAATAATAAATATAAGAAGAGCATTAAAACATGTAATACAGAATTCTTCACCAGATGCACAAAACTTAATCCTTTTATCTACAGAAGTGTAGGCTTTTTACCCAGGATTCAGGCAGGTTAACATCATTACACAACAAGCAAACAAAACTAAAACATGCACTCAACAGTGATTTTAAGGAAAATAATAGCTAGTGGGAGACAGGATATCAAAAACTGTGATAAATGATTAGGTCATTCACAATAAAGGTCACGTGATGCACAGGCAGGTTACAAACAGTACTGTTGTTCAAATATGTTTTGGTAATGAACAGTTCAATAATTACTATTTAATAACTTTTACTTGTAAAGAGTGACAATCTATTTTTCAGCCCATTAAATAATAAAATAATTACCAAGTAAAACCAGTCTTATAACTACCTTTTTCATTTTATTTTTAATTCACTACACAAAATTGTTTGAATAACATGAGAATATTTTCTTATTTTTAAAATTTATAACAAAAATAAAGCATCTTTTGGGGAAAAAAAGAAAAAGAGATTCTCGCAGCCCTGACTAAATAAAATAGTTGAACAAAAATAAATAAGCCATCTACAACACCTGAAAAGCCACCTCTCCCCCGCCCCCGCTGCTCAAAACCTTCTCTTTGACCTGGTCTGTCAATATTATCACTGCCTAAAAGTGGAACAAAAAACATGGATAAAAGTCTGTCAATATTATCACTGCCTAAAAGTGGAACAAAAAACATGGATAAAAGTCTGTCAAAATTATCACTGCCTAAAAGTGGAACAAAAAACATGGATAAAACTCTGTCAATATTATCACTGCCTAAAAGTGGAACAAAAAACATGGATAAAAGTCTGTCAAAATTATCACTGCCTAAAAGTGGAACAAAAAACATGGATAAAAGTCTGTCAATATTATCACTGCCTAAAAGTGGAACAAAAAACATGGATAAAAGTCTGTCCAAATTATATATGCCTCCAGATGTGGCAAAGGCAGGGATGTGACAAAATTATCATGGCAAAAGGCATGGATGAATGACAAAATTATCAGAGCCTAAAGTTAAAAAAAAAAGAAAAATAAATTAAAATGCTACACTAAAAATAAATATGCAGTGACAATTTACACCATTAAATGGCTATTTTGAATAACAATGTGATAGCATTACACAACGAATACTCAGACAAAATGCTAAACCAAGGTATAATGCAGTTAAGAAAATGTATAAAAATATATATCTAATATATAAAGCTCAATTCTGTAACGCATATGTTTGTCGTTGGCATTTCTACGGATTTAAGTGTTAGATCAATTATCGTGCGCGTTTGTCTAAATTTATGAGTTAAAAAATTACTATTAAAAGTGTTGGGAAATCATTTTCATTTTTCAAATTATAGTAATAATTGTCGGCATGTTCATTAAACACAAGTTTTAAAAAAATATCATCTTTTACAAAAATTCTAATTATGTTTTTATTTAGTCCTATAGCGCTTACTTCCCTTTGATAAATTAGGCAAAACACAATTACTTCCCTTTATGAAATCATTGCATTAGTTGAAAAGCATTTACTTTTTAATTACTTTGTTTTGGTGTTGGGAAAAAAATAATTACATAATTAGCGGGGATTGATCAAGTGCAAATGTTTTAGGTATTTTACGGATAAGCTTGGAGTATTATAATTGTTCATTAAATTGAAACAGGCGCGTTCGTTTAAGTGAGTGCAAAAACTATGAATAAGTTGGGGTACTATAGTCGTTTATTAAGCTAAAACAGGCGATTCTGCCCCGGGCGTTTATGTTCGCGTTAGTGTTTTCTTTGTGTTTAGGTGGGTTTGCGTTAGTGGTTGCGTTTTGATTTGGTTCGTTTTTGTTCTTTCTTTTTTCGTTTTTGTTTGTGTTTTTTTTTGTTTGGGTTTGTGTTTGTGTTTTTGGTTGGTTTTGCGTTTGGATTTGGTTTGTTTTCGTTCTTTCTTTTTTCGTTTTTGTTTGTGTTTTTTTGTTTGGGTTTGTATTTGTGTTTTTGGTTGGTTTTGCGTTTGGATTTGGTTTGTTTTCGTTTGCTTTTTCGTTTTTTTTTTTTTTTTTGTTGGTATTGGTGTTTGTGGTTGGGTTTGTTGTTAGGTTTTTGTTTTCGTTTGCTTTTTTGTTTGTTTTTTCTTTGTGTTTGTATTGGTGTTTGTGGTTGTGGTTGGGTTTGTTGCTAGGTTTTTGTTTTCGTTTGTATTTGTAATTGTGTTAGCGTTATGTTTGCGTTTTGTTGTTTTGGTTTTGGTTGGTCGTGGTTTGGGTGAGCAATGCCGGGTTTATGATGATTACTAAACACACAGGTAATGGTCTTTAACAGAAAGGTTTTTCACAGAAGCCAGAGCAGGGCCTGGCCGGGACGGCTAGTATATATATATAAAGCATGGTAGGAAAAGCATGAAATATTCTACTACATCAAGGTACATTCCTCATGCTGACAGACCAGGTAGGTTACCTTCACAACAACTAGAAAAATATATTAGGAAATCACAATCCCCTTGATTGGTTTCAACCGTATATAAGCAGATAACCTTATAACAATGAAGCTATTTTTAACAGCTATTCTTCTATTTACTGACCCCTTTCGAATCCACCTCTCTGTCTCTCCACTCCAAACTGGCCAACGCGCTGGCTGTCAGTGCCAGTAAATCTACCCCTGGGTTCCTCAAAGGTGCGTCTGTCACCATCTTCACTTCTCTGTGTGAATCTGCCACCACGTTCAGCCTGTGGGGTATAAATTGGGGAGAGATCTTTTTAAAACACATAAAAGTAGATTGGTACATTGGAAAAGGATTGAAATGAAGGACAGATTAAAAAGATAGATTAGAATAATGGAGAGGAGAATGTTTGGGGTGGATTAGATAGATGATAATGGTGTTGCTTGCTGGACATGGTTTAGATTGAAGGACAGGATTTAGAACAAAAAAAAACAGACGACAACAACATATTAGAATGATATACACGGATAAGAATGTTGGAAATGGATTAAAATGATAGACATGGATTAGAATGTTGGACATGAATTAGAATGTTGGACATGAATTAGAATGTTAGACATGAATTAGAATGTTAGACATGAATTAGAATGATGAATGCAGATTATAATGCTATACATTAATTAGAATGATGGACAAGGATTATAATGCTGTACATGGATTAGAAAGTTGGACATGAATAAGAATTATATACATGAATTTGTGTGTAGGACATGGAAGGATTAGAAAGTTGCAACAGCAACATATTAGAATGCTATATGTTGTGAATGGTATTTTAGTGTACTGAATGGGTATGAGAGTATGTGTGTAGTGGAATGTGTATAATATTAATAAAAGATGTTGAATGTGATAAGGCAAGTAAGGATGTGACGTGTGAGAGTATGATTTGGTTGTTAGGGAAAGTAGTGGAAATCAGTCTTGGTCTTGTTGCGTGAGGTTGTCAATATCTTTGGCTTTCGTCGTCCAGTCGTGTCTGTTGTGTGCTATTAAACTGTGAAAGGAATCAACGGCATTCTGTTTAGTGATTTCTATGGAATGATATTGGATCGTTGTACGTTGTCCTTCAACCCCGTCCATGTCTCACATTCGTTAAGTGATGGACATGGATTAGAAAGTTGGACACGGATTAGAATGATATACATGGATTAAAATAATATAAATGGATTAGAATGTTGGAGATGGATGGGAAAACATCCAACCTGCTGTGCGGTGAAACCTCTCCTCGTCCTCTCATCCTGAGACCCTCCTCTCTTCTCTCTATCTTTGTTGAGGCTGCTATCTTTATGATCGCCTCTCCCTCCATCCCTGTTATCTTTACGCTGGTCTCCTCTATCACCTTTCCCTCCATCCCTCCTCCCTCCTTCCTTAGAATCCGTCTTTCCAGTCTTCTGATCTTTCCCATCTTTGCGACCCCCATCACGGGCACTCTGTCTGTTCTCCTTCGTGCCCCTGCCTGCCTGTGACAGGGAATGCCTGTTGCCGCCCCGCGCATCCTTCCTGCCCTTGTCTCTCCCCCTGTCTAAACTCTGCCTCTCTGGTCTGCTCTCACTGCGCTCATCCTTTGTGGCTGGCCATGAATCTACAACAGACATGTAGAATTTAATTAATTAGAAACGATCTTGTTTAAACTACATGTGAAGAAAGCAATACAAAGGATGTCCTCATTTACTTACTACTCACAATGCAAAGTTTCTTTCATTGTGCAATATTTTTAAAGTTCTTTTAAAAAAGTAAAGCTCCTGTAGGATTTTTAAAAATGGAATTTCTCAACTGCTGAGAAATTTGAAATTCTGAACTGACAATGTTTTTATTACTGTTAGATAACAAATTTGTTTATGTTGGTCCCAGTACAGCTTCTTGGTTTACATCACCTAAATACTTTTGTTTATCACAATTTAGATTAGTAGAAGAAGGGAGGTGGGTTTCATTTAGTTCAAGTATTATTTATTAAAAAAAAAACAATGTTAACTTTTTCTTTCTTCCTGACCCTCAGATGATCCAATAGTTCTCTAGCTTGAAATCAAAACTAATTTTTATTCCAAAAAAATTACACTTTATTAAAATAAACAGCTGATCCAGCGACTCAATTAATCTTACCTGCACTGTTTCCTCTTTTCTTGCGCTCAACTTTCACCTCCTTGCGTACAACCGACTCGACAGGTGACCTCAGCTTAGCCCTGGAGGTCGACCTGTCATGTGATCGGACAGCAGATCGGTCTTGGGAATGATAAGATTTCTTCTGCCTCCTCCTACCCCTGTTATCAGAAGATGATGACGATGACGAAGAAGATGAGGATGTGGAAGAAGCTGATCTATAACTCTGAACCCGTTTCTTTTTCTCGACTGACTTTGAAGCTTTCCTTCCTCTATCATGTGCAGAATCATGACCTTTCTTTTTTCTTGCTAGACACACACAAATAAAACACTGAAATTACTAGAAAAAATCTAACTCCACAAAAAATTATATCTACTGTTTAATAAAATGTTAAAAAGGTACATCTAAGTTTATTTTTTCAATAAATTATTGTTTGAGGTAACCGCATAGCCTAAGGCATGTAATATACATATATAGAAAGTTAAAAAACTATGTAGTGAAATTGGTGTGGTATATTATGGTAATGGTATTTTTCTACAGGGTAAAATATTCAACACCAGTTAAAGCTATGATAATGTAAAGATTGTCAGATTAAGTTACTGTTTCTGAGCTGGTGGTCTATATGACAGATAGAGTTCACCTGTTTCTGTGGCAACAGCATATGAGGGAATATATAGGTCAGTTTTATACCCAGCTGTCTTAACTTAAAATGAGTCAGGTACCCATTATAGCTGAGTTGACTCAGGGTAAATAAAGAATGAATATACTACAATTAGAAAGGCAGAGAAAGGACAGGATGAGACATGAACAGCTTGCTGCCATACCTGTACTCTGGGAGCTAGAGCTGTCTGAAGAACTGGATGATGATCTGGACTTGGAATGTCTCCTGGCAGGTGAACCAGCGCTGGGTGATCTTGATCTCTTGAGGGAGGCTGGACCCCGCTTTAATTTCAGGACCTTTTTCAATGGAGACAGCAACTTCTTGGCCTTTCCTGGAGCATCAGCAACTGCTTTCACTTTCTTCTTTTTTTTCTTTCCTTTATTTTTAAGTTTTGGAGATGATGATAAAAACCTTTTATCTGAGAAAAAATTTTGTTAAAGAAATTGTCTCAGAACAATTCCCAGTTTTACCATTTCATTAGGGGCTTATATTTTGTTCCATTAATTGTTCTGTTCTGTGCAATATTTTAAATTTTAAAACCCATTAATAATTTTTGCTTTTTATAGCATGAAATTTGGAGTAGAAGATGTATTTGTGTTGCTTTTTACTGTTCCTAACCTAACCTTGATCCAAACAATAGTTGATCTTAATGTAATCCTAACCCTAATTACAAAAGCACCAAAAGCAGAAATAAAACAAAACATGGATATGTTCTACCATTGTTTTCATAAAAACAATGTGAAGTGAATAATTTGGTTAAAAACTATGTTATCATAATAGGACTTTTTAAGATATATTTTACAACTTATAAGTTGGAGCTAAATAATGTATCATTTTACTGCTTGTTTTTTTTACATAAATTGTCAGCACATTTGAAATTTTTTTTTTTAAAAACTGTCTTGCGCTGAACTCACCATCAGGAGTGTCTTCATGAGGGACGGATGTTGGGGACTCTGGATCATACAAGTCTGCAGCTAACTTTCCACCTTTTAACCCAGCCTTCTTTGGCTTCACACTAGCTTCGCTTGGTAGACTAACAGGTGGGTCCTCATTGTGCTTCTTATCTTTGTTTTTCTTTTTACGCTTCTTACGAGAAACATGTTCATCATCATCTTCGTCTGTTCCGTGTCTGACGGTGTTAAATAATTATTTTAAAATATTTCATGCTTCACTTATTTAATATTTAAAATTATTAAATACAATATTAGAAATCAAAAACTGGCAATTAAGTTTTTCTTTAACCTATTTAGTTAAGTTAAAAAAAAAAATTTTAATTGAATAAACTCTAAAAGACAGTGAAATATGAAATTATATTACTTCCGTTTTCCTTCTTTTGTTTTGTCAACAAGGACGTCTTTGTCTGTAAAACTTTTCTTGCTCTTTTTCTTCTCTTTTTTTTTGCTATTAGATGAAATTTGATTAAAAAATGTTTTATGTATTGTGAATTTAAAGACTAAAAAGATAAATAAAAAAAATAGTTGCCTTTGTTTGCTCACCTATTAAAATTTGCAACTTGATTAAAAAAATGTTTTATGTATTGTGAATTTAAAAACTAAAAAGATAATAAAAAAATAGTTGCCTTTATTTGCTCACCTATGAAAATTTGCAACTTGATTAAAAAAATGTTTTATATATTGTGAATTTAAAAACTAAAAAGATAATAAAAAAATAGTTGCCTTTATTTGCTCACCTTGCTTTGTCTTTCTTCTTTGAATGAGATCTCTCAGGGCTACTGTCAGACACTGAGGAATCTGACTGTTAAATCATGAAGAAGTTAACAACTGCTTTGTATAAATTCTTTAAAAAATACACAATTAGTGTTCATGTTCAATGGGTTTAATTCAAGAAATTTTTCTTTTATTGATACAACTATTGTGTTTAAAGCACTGGAAATCACTTCTTTTTCTTCCTGCATATTAGAGACTGCAGGAATAAGGTGTATTATAAAGACAAAATATCTGGTTAAGCAAAACCCTTAATCATAAACTTCAGGAAATAATCATTCATATAGAAATTTAAACAATCCTAATATATAAAAGGCTGTGTGCGCTCTTCTCTCTCTCTGTCTGTCCGCAAAATATTTTCGCCGGACATCACGTCAGAATCGGCAGCGATATATGGATACCTTTATACGGACTTTTGTTGAAAAAAATATGTTAGATGTTTTAAATGTATAACCACAAAATTATTTAAAGAAGAAAAATAAAAAATAAAGGCGTATTCGAATGTAGTATTATTTATGCAACCGGATAATTGTATAAACTTGAGACAAGAACGCATTTAACAATGACGTCGCTTATTGTTTACACTAAAAAAAGAGCACGAAACTGATGACGTCATCTTCCGAGTTTAGAATATAAAGAAATGAACTATTTCATTCAAATATGATTTAGAGCTATGTACGCTATGAAATGTATACAATACGATTTTCTCGGCCTAAACTTAAAAAAGTTATTTTATCTATTTGGATTCTAGATCTAGATCTAGAGATTCTAGATCTAGATATTGATCTCGATCTAGATATTCTAGATCATCTAGATCTAGAGATTCTAGATCTAGATCTAGATGATCTATAAAGCTAAGTTGTCGGGTGCCCGATAGGGCACTTCCCGGCGCCGCAGGCGCTTCAAATTTGGCAGGATCTTGCCTTGGGGCGACAGAACACGGGGGCCGGTTGGCCAAAAAGTCTACGATGAGGGGGTCAAAACTGACCTCGACTGAACGGCGCCTTATATGGGCGAATTAATTAAGCATTCAAATTCTCAATGTTTTCGAAAGCCTAAGCGAAGCTGGGCAGCATGCCTAGTAATCTAGTATTATCAAACTCTGTTATTTATATAGAAATAGAATTCAACAGTTAACTTCATGTCGTAATCTAACTTTAGTAGCAAATTTTTTTCATTCACATATAGGTAAAGCAGTTACCTTCTTCAGGTCTGGGGGCCCTTCTTCATTGGCCTCTAAAGCTTCAAGGGCTCTCTGAATCTCCAAACGTTTTTGCTCAAGTTCCGGTTCCTTTTTATGCTCCAATTCTTTGGAAAATAAACAAGAATAAATTTTTCGTTACATTTTGCAGACTTGAATTAAAATTTAGTTTTCTATCGGATGTACTTCAACAAACTGCCTTAAGTTACATAGTATGCATGATTTAAATATGCTACCTACCTACATACAAGTGACTATTAGAAACAACTGAAAGAAGACAAGGGCAACATGTATTATAGTACTAGATTGTGTTTTATATTTTTAATCTTATCACACAACTATTTTTGTTTCACCTAACTACATTATTTTATAATAAAGCTAGTTTTTCTGGTGTTTTTTATTGATTTTTTTAACTTAATTATACAATTTAAAAAAAATATAAAACTAGCTTGTTTTTGTTTATTTAGCCCAATCACTCAATTTTTTTATAAGAAAGGTCAAATACAGGCAATGGTCGCTGCTAGCTGCTATTAAAATGTTGCTATTTTAAAATGTATGTAAAATATGCTAACCTTTAGATTAGAATTAATATACTAAAACCAGTGTTAGTAGGAAACTAAATAAACTATTTCTTTTTTTTTTTGGAAGGAAAAATAGCTATACAGACTGTTTAACTTTTAAATAGCTATATTGATTTTGAAAAGTAAGCATTCATATGATACATAATTTATTTAAATGTAGATCTATGTATTGTTAGCAATTTTAAATACTCTTAAAAAAATTATTTTTGGTTAAAATTTAGAGTTGATTAAAACCTAGAATTTTATTTTATTATAGCAGGCCTATATACTGGATTTCAGCCCTTTTAATTTACCTGTGATGAAAATAATGCAGCCTATGCTATGTGATGGGAGAGGCTTGTAGTACCACCCTAAGCTAGAGGAAAGCACAAACGAAGTGTAACCCATAAAAAACTTACTATCCATTGACCACTCATCCCTGTCGTCCCCAGACTCATCATCACTCCCAGCACCGGTTTTCCCACGCACCACAACCTGGGACTTGACTTTGGTTTCCCTGTCCTTCCCCCCTTTAAACTTCAGCCTGAGATTATCTGGACTGGCTTCTGTATCCCTGAACATTAAAAACAATGCTGCTCAAATTTCACTTCAAAACTTTAATTCTTACTAAACATATATTATTGATAAAGTTTATTCTAAAATTCAAATATCAAAACAGAAATATTTGTTGATGTAACATTTAAACGAAAATACCATACACAAGTCTTACCGTTTGTTGCGATCCTTAACAACACCACTATAACTTTTGGCATATTCACCTTGGTCTTGAAAATCAAAGCTAGCTTTGGATTTCTGTTGATGTAAGTGACTCAAGTTTAATAAAATACAAACATTAAATACTAGAACAAATGAGAATTTAATAATCTAATAAATAACATTATTATACATATAGTATGAACTATAAATCCTGTAAATTGTAAGGTCGGTTAGTTATTTATTAATATATTGTATTACAAATATTGTAGCCAGTCTCACTAATTTTTAAAGTGAATTATTTTCCATTTCAAAGTATATCCATTATAAGATAACAAAACACAAAATTTAAAGCCCCATCAGACTGAGGGACTGAAATTATTTATTTTTACAAAACAGAGTAACTCGTTTCATGGCAAAAATATATATTTTACGGATTGTGCCTATAACAAAATGAATTTTATATCCATCTCTACTCCGTAAGGTGTTATTCTAGAACACCCCCCACCCCCGTGTAATTTCATTATTTGGGCATTTTTCTGTGAGAACAATTTTCAAAATTTTGTATTTGTGCAATTTTCTGTGTGCGCATTTTTGTGTTTGCATTTTTCTGTGTGCACAAATTTCTGTATGCACATTTCTCTGCTGCGCATTTTTCTGTTGCTCATTTATTTTTGCACAGTTTTCCGTTTCGAATCTGTCTGGTCACCCTTATCTTTATGGAGACATGTGTAATAGTATTGCTCGCTACCCCGCAGGTGTGGCTGGTTGCTAACAACAATATGGCGTACAGACCGGATGCATGACTTCCGACGATTTTTCATCTTAGATCCAGACACCTTCTTAGAATTACTTTTAAAAATGTTTACCACGAGCAAAATAGCGGGTTTTCACGTTATAAGAATATGCTATAGGTGGCAGGGCTAAATATGCCAGAAAAGCATTTTAAAATTTGCTTTGGAGAATGAAGGCTAAATTTAAAAGTCGGTGTCATTAAGATTTATAGAACTTTTAAAATATCAGCCTGGAGAGTACAAAAATGAATTGGAGGCTGTAGAACTATTAGGGTTATCAGTCTATGAAAAAATAAATATTACAAGCACTTTTTTTTATAAGACACGACTTCTGAATGACAACAAAAAATTTTTTTTTAAACCATGTGACCGCTATTTGGTGATCACTAGTGAAGAAGTCTGGGTGCATGGCCACTTAAAAAGTCTAACCAGATTATTGGTTTTCTTTAGCTTTAAACGTAAGAGTGGTTGTCACGTAGAGGTGTGTCCTGCATGGCAGTGAGTGACAATAAATATTAAATTAAGTAATTTAGTTTAAAATGAACTAAAAACTTCAAAATTAGTGCCTAATGGATTAAATATGGATGTCTATCATTCAGTGGTCATGTTTAAATTGAAAATTGAGTAGGCCTAGCCTAAATTTTAGATTTAGTAAGAAAATCTACAAAATTCTGTTTCATACACGAAAATGGTTGCTTTGTGGATTGGAAATTAATATCATATTAATTTTACTTTAATAAGAGACAGTGGTAAAAACAAAATTTGAAAAATCACTCAAGAGCTGTGGGCAGGTTTTTTTTAATGAAAATTATCTCCCTTTGTCCAATACTATAGTTATTAGTTACAAATAGTAGAAGTGGAGTGTAGTTTTTTAAGTAGAGTTAGTAGAGTAGAATGGCTGGAGTAGACACACACCTCATTTCTTTGAGAGCCACCCGGCCCTAATCGATCGAAGACACTTCTTCGGTCAGATTCATCACCAACATTTTCTTCTTCAACTGTAACTCTTCGTTTAGATTTATTCGACATAGCCGGTTGTGATCTTTGGAGATGCCGAGGAAGAAACTTCAGTTTACTATCTTCGGTCGCCATGTTTGCGTCGATCTTATAAAACAAGGATTAAAATACAGACATCGAATAGAAACAGTTCAAAACTGTTAAAATTTTTTATTTAATATTTAGATCTAATATAGATTCTAGATACAAACGTTTAGGCCTAAGCAATCTAGATCCACATATTAGAACAAACTTTTGATTCTGGACAAAAAAAAAGTAGAAAATAAAACTATTTACATCCAGTATAATAATTCTTCATAAGCCTAAATATACTAAACAAACTGAAAAATGTTAAGAAATGTTCGTTAAGTTATGCAGTGGTGTAGCGAGGTCGGGTGTCACCCGGTGCGGCACTTAATGGTGTCACCCCTTAGCGTAGCGACTCTTCCCAGGGACAAACTTTCAATTTTCGATTTGCACCCCCCCCCCCTCCCCTCAAACTTTTGATTTGTATATATTTTCTATATAAATTCCATTTCGTTCGGGCGGTAGACTTTCTTCGGAAAGGGGAGGGGGGACATGCCCCCCCCCCTCCCGAAGAGATGCTTGGAAGAAACTCTGGTTCCTGGTAGTCCACGCGCCAGTCCACCCCTTTTCTATACCAAGTCTAAAAAACAAACTCTCTTCTCACCATTCCAGGGAAGAACCTTCCGTCGACGAGAAAGCTTCCCGCCCCAGAGTTATAAAAATTCGAAGGCGCTTTTTTTTGCGTTTAACTAGTTCTTAACAGAGTTTATTTTGCTGTTTATACACAAGCGAGGCAGAAAACAGCTCAATGAGTTAATGTCAAGTCGATTTTATTTGATTAACGTCGACTGTGTAAAACTAGGCTGTTGCACGTAATTTTAAAACCTCATTCAAGCATAGAAAAAAATACACCAAAAAAATAAAAATAATTCCCATTACATCGATACCAATTTTGTGTTTCTAGATTCAGTCCGTAGGAGTTAAGATATGGCCTTTTGAAAAGGTGTGGAGTAGCAACGCACCGTTAAGACCTGTGTAATTCACGCCAATAAACTCAGCAGGGGGGGGGAGGTTCAGAATGTATTCATTACAAGCTTTTATTTAACTTGCTTCCTCGTCCAGTCTGTCGAAAGTCTGCCTGTAGTCATAGATCGAAACAGTGTTTCGGGGGGAATGGGGGCGGACTAAAATTTCCGATGGGGCGGACACTTTATAGTTTTTTTTTAAATAGTAGTGTCTAATTTATTTTCTACTTTTTAGTCTTAGTGCATTATTACATATAGGCTTTTTCTTTAAAAGTTTTTACAAGCTTTTATTTAACTTGCTTCCTCTGTCGTCAATCTGTTGTCAGTCTAGATTGAAACGCCTTATCGAAATTTCGAGCACTTCTAACTGACAGATTCGGTTCAAAGTTGGCAGGTGTGTCAAGACATAAAGACAATGCAATCTGACATTAAATTAGACTTAATTGGATGCCTAATAATTATTTATGAATATATTAAAATTGTGTCCAAATCAGTAGGCTGTCTTATTCAACTACTACTACATCCGCACTATTATACGCGCGTTTTCACGTTCTTTAGGTGCGCAATGGTTATATTATGTAGCTCTCTTCTACATCCGCCTATGTAGCCCCCTTCTACATTCTCCTCTGTAGCTCCCTTTTATATCCGCCGGTATAGCTTCTCCCCCCCCCCACTTACCACACCACTCACTCATGAATACAGAGGCGTAGCGAGGGGGGGGGGGTGCGGACCGCACCGGGTGACACCATTTAGGGGGTGACACCAAGGCAAAAAATAGCAAAATATATAGAGAAAAACTTGAGGGGGGTGCAAATCGAAAGTTTGAGGGACGGGGGGTGCAAATCGAAAGTTTGAGGGGGTGGGGTGCAAATCGAAAGTTTGAATGGGGGTGCAAATAAAAAATTTGAAAGTTTGTCCCAGGAGGGTCGCTATGCCTTTGGGGGGTGACACCATTAGGTGCCGCACCGGGTGACACCCGACCTCGCTACGCCACTGCATGAATATCAACTTCATGTCCCAGGATTCATTTATTTTTTTACTTAAAGTCCCCGGAGCCCGACCACACCTACCATCCCACACGACCTGTCGCTGACAGATACGCTTTCACTACTACATTTTTTTCTCTCTCACAGCAAACAATACAGCTATAAACTAAACTAGGCCTCTGTACATTCGTACATTCGACACGCCTACAGTGTGTAGGTCAAGGTGTGCAGACGTAGGTCTGATTATAAGTTTTAACTGGGTTAGAAGTGAAACACACTTAAAAATACTTTTTATTCAATATTGGTATTTTGTTTCGTTGTAGGTTATCCTGAATAGTTTTTTTTTCTTCGGAGATCGAGTAATATTTGTATGTATGTGTTCAAAATCAGGTAAAGTAGCAAACGCTAAAAAAAAATCTTTAAGCTCTTATATTTTGTCTCACATTATTGCGTTTTGTTTCTGTATGCAAAAAAATATCAGTAACACTAAACAAAACCATATCTTTTTTTTTTCTTAAGCTTAACACAAGGGTTATCGATTATCTTTAACCCTTTTCTTTGATACAATGATACGAACGCATCCATATTTTTGCATGGCACTAAACTTTAGTTAGATTATGCTTTCTTTTTTTCAAAATCAGAGTTTAATCATTTGGTATCAACTGCATAATATAAAATGATTACTGGTGTTCTAGTCCTATATGGGTCTGTAAGCCCGAGGGAGTCAAGGTATGTGGGAGTACCAGGGTAGCATAGGGCTGTAAGGCTAGGACCATGATAGTCCGACGAAGGGGGGGGGGCATAATTGTGGGAGCTTAGGATCGTTAAGGATTAGGACTATGGGTGTTTACGTCCCCGAGTTCTTAGGACTGTGAGAGTTTAGACCCACGAGAGCCTAGGTTTGTGAGCTTAGGGTCCCCAGAGCCTTAGTTTGTGAGTCTAGTTTTGTGCGAGCTTAGGGTCCCAGGGCCTAGTAATGCGAGAGCTTAGGCTCCCGAGAGCTTAAATTTGTGAGAGCTTAGTAGGGTCCCGAGAGCATAGGTTTGTGAGAATTTAGGGTCCCGAGAGCCTAGTAATGTGAGAGCTTAGGCTCCCGAGAGCCTAGGTTTGTGAGAGCTTAGTAGGGTCCCGAGAGCATAGGTTTGTGAGAATTTAAGGTCTCAGAGCCTAGTAATGTGAGAGCTTAGGCTCCCGAGAACCTAGGACTGTGAGAGCTTAGGGTCTCAGAGCCTAGTAATGTGAGAGCTTAGGGTCTCAGAGCCTAGTAATTTGAGAGCTTAGGCTCCCGAGAACCTAGGACTGTGAGAGCTTAGCGTCTCAGAGCCTAGTGATGAGAGTTTAGTTTCATTATCGCCCAGGGTTGTAGTAGTGTGTGGCCTAGAGATTCTCAGAGCTTAAGCGGGAAGGAGCAACTGTAAACCATTTCTTTATGTGATCTTTCTTGTTTAACCTCAGGAACACTAACACAATTTCATTTTTTTTTAAATCACACAACACACTTAAAGCATACACTGGATTATCTAAATCCCTAACACAGCTGCATGACATAATAAATGCCCGTACACTCTTATATAAATACATCTAACCCCGCCAGGAGAAGCTGCCTGTTGTAACAGATGTTAACAATGTCAACATTTACCAAGTCCTTGAGTCAATACGTATAGTCGTCTGCTGAACTGAAGTCTTCGATCGCTGACACGTTTGTATTGGTAAATAACGCGTGCAGTAAAAAAAAAAACTAAAGTAGGTGTGTAAAGATTTGGGTCGTTGTTGACAGACATGTTGTCTAGTATAGTTGCTGTATTAAAGGAGAAATATACTCATGTTTCATAACTCTTTTCGCGTGGTCAGACAAGTTGCTGTATAGTTGCTGTTTTTCAAGGAGAAATATACTCATGTTCGATAACTCTGTTCATGGTGCTAGGTTGTCGTTCCTGTGATTGAACACTTTTTGGAAAGCACGTGTGTGGACTTAGTTCACAACTCACTGAAGTAAGGGCAGACATTTTTTTATTCTGAAAAAAATGCTGGTATAACAAAATTACCGTATTGTAAGGGTCACAATTAAGCTTAGGTTTAGTGCTAGGGTTGTTGTGGATATTCTAGCAATAACACAAATTAGACAACTTCTAATATACCGAAATTATCGTCAAAAACCTTTCCACTGTAGGGCACACAGTCAAATATGATTAATTTTAGTGTATAATTTAATACTAATACCAAACACTAGATATTCCAGCTCAGCCCGATGCAACACGAATTATAATTGAAAGTCATACGTTTGACTTCAGTGTTTCTTTTAGACTTTTTTCCGGGGGGGGGGGGGACACTTAAAATTTTCGGGGGGGGGGGGGGGGGGGAGGGGGCGGTAGACTTTCTTCGGGGTGGCGGACACTGTTAATAGTATATATTATTTATATAAATTTCATTTCGTTCGGGGGGCGGTAGACTTTTTTCGGGGGGGGGGGGGGCGGCGCCCGAAAAGATGCCTGGAAGAAACTCAGACTTGAAGCATAAAATACAAGTTAATGGCAACATTGTGCATCATAATGATAAGCTGTGATTTATAATCACTTTGTAGAGCTGTAGCGTGTAGATTACAGACATACTCTTTACAGGGTTTCTCTCAGACTTTTTTTCAGTGAGTGGGGAGCATACAAAACTTTTGGGGGTGCTGGACCGCCCTTAAAATTTCCGAGGGGGGGGGGCGGAATGGACCCTAGATAAGGTATATAATCTCGATATAGTTTTTTTATTTATTTATTTGGTGGAGGGCAATGCCACACCCCTGAAGAGATGCTTGAAAGAAATTCTGCTCTTTTGATACAGTTGGGTAGACATGATCAGTATTGATCATCAAGTTAGCCTAGTGAGTAGTGATACTCTATGCTGAGATGGGATATAGCAAGGAATAGGCTTGGTGTCAGCAGAGAAGAATATAATAATAATAAAATGAAGCTGTTATTCCCTTTGTTGAGATCCATTTCTAGTTTATTCTTAGTTTCAATTTTAAAGAACCTTTAACAGCCGGGATTTTTTAAAGATATATATATATATATATATATATATATATATATATATATATATATATATATATATATATATATATATGTGTGTGTGTGTGTGTGTGTGTGTGTGTGTGTGTGTAATTTATGACAATTTATAAAGGCCAATAAATGATTTTTTTTTACAAATGTTTAGTTCATGATTGATAATGTATTTTCCCACAGAATCTGAAGAATGACGTTTTATCAGAACCTGGCTCAAGTTAAAACTGTGACATTGTATGCCTCGCTTCTAGTAGCTTCAGGAATAGTTGTCATAGTAACATTTAAACTTCTCAATTTGGCGATATCCGGCAACCATCGACACGAGAGGGACGTTGATCAGCTGACAAAAGTTATAAATAATTTTACATTAGTGTTTGGGTGAAAAAAAATCTTAGCACGTATTTAGAATCCCGCCAACAACGTGAACGTGCCAGTTTTTCCTGCATTGTTGATCTAAACAATTTCTTCAATTGGCCAAATCAAAGGGAGAATACTACTGACCACTTTATTTCAACTATATTACAACAGTTATGTTTCTTTATATTCACATCATTGAAATGGAACGCGTTAAATAATAAACATTTTACATTTTATCATTAAATTTCAATTTATTACATTAACAATTAGGTTAGTACGTACATACTTTGTTTAAAGATTGACTTATTACATAAATTATTAACAAGACTAAAATAAATGAATGTAAAAAAACTCTACTTTTACCCACACGATAGTGAATAGTCATTCAGTCAATCATCATCAAAAGCATACACACTCACGCGCACGCACGCACACACACACACACACACACACACACACACACACACACACACACACACACATATTAATGAATTGAAAATAAGTGTCCGATGTTGGAGAAAATTTCTTCTAAGAAAGGTAATTTTGTGTACTTTAATTAAAACATGCAACGCAAAAACAAGAATCTGCAAGGAGAAAGTAAACGATGTTTAAGTAAAATACAAATATGTAGGTTGCGTCCATAGTGGGGCGTGGCAACAATATGACGTCAACCAAAGCCTAGCAGCGAGTTTGAGATTTCCGTTAAGATATCTTTTTTTTATCTATTGCATGCACAGTGATAATTTTTGTTTTTCAAAAGTGAAAACCTTTATCTGCTAAACTTAATTCTAATTCTACCAACTTATAGCAGTTAAAGAATTGTGCAAAGCTTTAGCCTACAACCTCCATGTTACAAAATTATGATATGTCTACTCATACCCTCCCTCATATAGAGTTACGTTGTTACATTTTTACACGTCTTCTTCTCTTCTTAATCCCGTTCGTGCCCAAGATACATTGGGCAGATGAAGTAGAGTTCATCTGATTCATAGACCTCGGCATATGAAGGGATAGTGTGGTCAGTACTATGCCCAGCCGCCTTTATTTCCCTAACGTAAGTTAGGTACCCATCAGAGCTGGGTGGGATCAGGGACAGTCTACTGACTTGAACCTGGATTCGAACTCAAGACTCACGGGTTAGCAGTCTACCGCTAAGCCACATATACATTGCTCCCCATTATAGAGTCGCGTAACATTTTTTTTAGAAAAAAAACAGTTGTTTCATTAAAAACAACTGCAAAGACAAATTAGTTATTTTATCTTACCAATCTTTAAAAAAAAACGTAAACTAATAAAATAAATTATTTATCAGGCTATTCTAATTAGCAGAATTTAAAAAAAAACAAGAATAAACAAAATCAGATACAGTGTAATTAAGCCAATACCGTTTCCCTATAACCTAGCCTCAATATTCAATATAATGATATGATAAGCAACCCCCTATCTGATCCCTACCTAGTGGACCCAACTCACCAATCGTGACGTCGTTGTTCCAGGTTTACACGTTTTTACATGTCTTTGCAAATGTATTTAAAATGTAAAACTGTGTATATAAGTAAAATAAAATGTGCAATCTTTCAAGTCGTCATTGTACTTTCTTTGTACAGATTTTTTAAAAATTAGTTATATGAATGTATCCACAGGTACAGAATATAATGTGGCTGGCCAAATTATGACGTTTTTAACTGGCCAGTTTTCAAATGCCGAGGTCACAGAAACAGGTGAACTCTTGCCCCACCGGCCGTCATGTCCGAAAGAGAACTTCAGTTGTCAAAATGCGCCTATGCCTGTGGGTGTGTGTGTACACACAGAAATGTAAAATATAAACAAAGGACTGTAATTTAAATTGAAAAAAAAAATCAAAATTCTCAGTGGTTTGCCAGATAGTTATATAAAACTTGTATCCCTGTATTGGAAGTTATTCGTTTTGGTTGACATGTACTGAAAAGGCAATACGACTTTCATATTGAGTCAACCTGGGTTTAATTTTATTTTTTAATATAAAAAAAAACAAACTGTTGTTCATGGATGTTTCTAGTCTTTGTTCTTGGCATGGGGTCGCCTAAACTGAAGAAGCTTCATGTTTATTCATATTAGGGCAACATCTGGTCGTTTTAACTAAGGGGCGAAGCTTTGTGCTTGGATATCCAATGCACAATCATCAAATGGTCTCCTATGGAGCCATATTATTATTGTTTCCAAACATTTGTTTTTAATCTTTCTGTTTGGAATATGAAGAACCGAAGAAGCATTCAGTTCATTCATACTTAGGCAGTCTAGGTTATGATATAAGTATATAAGGGTCAGCTGTAGATTAATACAGCTGTACCTATAGTGCTGGTAAGTAGGTCAATAAACAGTTCTTTGGCGCATGCAGGTTTTATTGAATCGTAGAACGGGTTGGTGACCTACTTAGCAGCCCTCAGAGGTTTACGAGGTGTCGTTATCTTGGGATTGGGAAAGCCCGTTTTCAACACTGTGGGTGGCGCCACTGAGTAAATGTTTGGGGGATTTGATGAAGCGGATACACCTGGACCGGAAGGTCTTGTTGTAGAAGCTATAGATGACGGGGTTGAGGGCGTTGTTGATGAAGAACGACCGCTTGAAGAAGTGGTGAGCGATGTAGTAGCTCCCTCGTACACACAGCATCTTCATAACGAAGGTTGGAGCGAGGTTGGAGAAGATTTGGACGATGAGGTGGGGGAGGTAGCTGAGGACGAACCCGAGGGTGACGAGGAGCATCATGATGGTGACGCGGGAGGTTCGGATCTGCCGGATGCAAGATTTCCGGCGTTTGTTCGAGGTTGTGGCCACGCTGGCTGATCTGGAACTGCTCACCCCGAGTTTGTTGATGGAGGTCGTGGAGCAGGAGCTAAGCTTAGCGCTGGTTAGCAAGGCGGAGTTGTTGCTGGTGGTTGAAGGGTTAACTTCCATGGAGTCCCACGTGACGTTGGCGGCTCGGAGTTTGGTTGGTTTAAGCAGGTCACGTGGTCTGCCTGGCATGGAACACAGGGAGTCGTCCGACGCCGAGTGTTTCAGGCTGTTCCGGCTTCTGATAGATGAGCGATCCGCTTCTTGCGAACAGTCGTCGTAGTTACAGTCATCACGTGACTGCGCCTGCTCACGTGATGTGTTAGTGACGTAATCAATCAACACCGGCATTGACGAAGCGCGTCTGACCGTGCTGCTGTACCCACACTCGTCTATCCCGGGGGTGCTGTGTGACGCCCACTCCCTCCCCCTCACCTCCTCCCGGGGCTGCATCGCCTCCTCAGAATCCCAAGGTCGAAACCGTCCGAACGTATGCCCCATTTTTCTGAATCTTTCCGGAACATACTCTTGGTTGTCTACTAAATCATAAGAAACTTTCGAGACCTTTCTCGATGCTGGGAACGTGTCCACGGACCCGGAAAGATAATTATTTAAACTTGTCTTAGTCACGACAGACGTAGACCTGACTGGACACTCAAGGATCGATATGATATCATCGTCATCATACACAATCTTATCATCAACAGGAGTCTCTACTTTTTCATCGTCAAATACGGGATTAACATCTCGCGAGAAGAGTCTTTTCACGGAGTTGTTGAACTCGGAACATCGCGAGAGTTTGACGCCATCTTTAACAAGAAGAGATGTGGAGTTGTGATGCGAGTCTTCCTCTTGAAGGTCCGCGTCGTTGATAGAGTAAATCGTGGAATTCCCGTTTCTCGAACACGTCAGGACCTTATCTCGGGAACACGAAATGACTTCAGTAGTGACCGGGTCAGGTTTGTGATTGTGGTTGGTGTTGGTGAGGCAGATTGTGATCTGTGGTAAAACAGGCATGCTGCCGTACGACTGCGCCGAGAGGGTGCGGCGTCTTTTCTTCTGGTTGTGGATGTTGACGATGATGAAGCCGTACATGACGATGAGGACGATGATGCAGACGACCCAGGTACCACCCAGGAGGTACTGGTACCCCGCTGCCAGTATGGAGCCCCGGTACTCGTCGTCTATGGAACACTCGTGGACTGTATGGTTCAACCTGGTGAAAAATATCCACACATTTAAATGCTACATTTTATTTTTTATTTTGGCGTAAATCTGTAAAAATTAATGCACACTTTCATAAGCAAAGGCTTATAAGGCTAAGAAAGAAGAGATCATCTATTCCCTTGACTACACGATTTGAAGGGGATTTTTGTCAGAATTTTGCTCAGAGTGCTTGACATGTTCTTACTGCCATAATGCCTACCTAGTTTTATTCTCCATTGTATGTACAATGAAACCCGCATTACTACATACTCACATGTAAACTTCCTAACTACGTCATTCTTGCTTCATAGTCCCTGAAGCATGTATTGATACTATTCTTTACCTATAGTTTACCTCACTGCACCCTCCCTTGCATGTCAGCCTTGTTACAGGCAATATCTTCACCTGACCAAGCCACACCATCCCTCACCACCCTCCTTGTCTACCCACTCCCTCCCTCACCTTCATCTCGCCTAGCCACTCTCTCCCTCAACATCCTGCCTAGACACACCCTCACTCACCCTGTCTCCCAACACACTCCCTCAGCTTCACCCTAACCACACCCTACACAATGCAAACCCACACCTTGCCCTCACCATCTTGCCTACCCACACCCTGCCCTCACCATCTTGCCTACCCACACCCTGCCCTCACCATCTTGCCTACCCACACCCTGCCCTCACCATCTTGCCTACCCACACCCTGCCCTCACCATCTTGCCTACTCACACCCTGCCCTCACCACCCAGCCTACCCACACCCACACCTTCACACTGCCCCACCCCACCCCTCACCTGTAATCCGTCTGCTTGCCGTACAACACCAGCGCTGGACTACAGAAGACGAAGGAAAAGAGCACCATCAGTCCCACCAGGATCTTGCTCTGACGTACACTCATCTGTTTCCGGAACGGCTGGCATATCCGCCGGAACCGGTCAACGGCAACCACCACCAGGACGGTGACCGATCCACAAGAGCTGAGGGACACCAGGAACCTCATCACCTGTAATTAGTAATTAAATTAGTAGTAATTAGTAATTATGCCGACTAGCTTAGCTTGGTCTGCTCTATATGGAGCTCGAGCCTCAACCAGTATTTTCCAATTAGTCCGGTCATCGGCTTTTTTTTGCCGTCTTCTAAGACATCTTTGAGGACTTCAGTTATTCTAGAAGACTTCACCTCAAGGTCTGTCTCGGGCGACCTCACTTTCCCCCCCCCCCCCCCCCCCCCGTGGTGGTGCCACTCAGGTGCCGGACGTGTCATGTGCGCATTAGCCTTTTGCCATGTTTGTCCCACCCAGCGCCACCTCCCCCTTCAGATATTTGCTGTTGAGTTTTTGTCCTTTTCCATTACCAATTAGTGCTCGTAGTAATTAGTAGCTCTACCTATACGTACTTTTTCAACAAGTGATTAAATAGATTAGTGCTTACAGTAATGTGGGCAGGGAATATTAAAAAGGGGGGGGGGATAACTATACCAACTACTGTCATTGTAAGATACACATACAAAATACGTTTTATTGAATTAGTGTAATTGAAGTGAGTTTTGAGACAACTATGAAATTCTTGTTGATGTCGTTGTGTGTGTGTGTGGGGGGGGGGGGGGGCTCGTTTAAAATGAAGTGGTCGCGTGCGGACAGGAAGGGGAGGATATTCGATTCAGAATTATTATTGTCGTTATACATGTTAAGATTCGTAGCAATCTAGAGATCGGATTATCAAGCGCGCCTTTTACCACTAGACCACGCCATCTCCACAACTTCAAAATAGCACACAATTCATTTTGTGTGCTGTAGGTCTTTAAAACTTTTCCCCGTAGTGGGTTGCGTTATACAGTTTGGGAATCGCTCCACTTGAGCTGGTAGCCAACCACAGAAGAAAATTAACTAACAGGAATGTGTGAAAGAGGGGTAAAGGTCACTTCCGGAGTTTTTTAAAGTGAGCTCTGGTATACAAATTGATGGGTTTTTTTTAAGTTTTTAAATTAATGACAGCCAGTTGGACTTTAGACAAGAATCAGCTTGTTAACAGTGAATTGTTTGAAAGTGGTTGTTGGTTAAGTTTTAAATTTTAAATTAAGTGGGGTTGAGGGGGGGGGGGGAACAAACAATTTTATTTCTATAAATATAAAGGCAAATATAAGCAATATCAAAATTACTTAAATAAAAAGGAAATTATTTTAGAAAGATATAGGCCGTACGTTTTGTATGAAGAGGATTTATACGGCACACATTGTGAGTCGGCGAATCTACAAAATATCATAAGTATGTAAGGAGAAAATAAGAAGAAAATAGAAAAAGAACACTTTGGGTTAGACCTAAACACCGAACCTACTTACGATGAGGTACCAAATTGTTCTCACTTACATAACCCTATTTAAAAAATCCCTCCCCCCTCCCACCATGTTTATATTAATATAATTGTCTTTACAATTGAAAATTTCCAAATACAATGTTTGTAACAATTTTTTAAACCTATGTATGCAACAATTTATGACGCATAGGCGCGTGGCACGTATTAAGTAATAACAAAAACATTACTCTCATTACAAACCGTGTTTCAGATCACCACCTTAGACATTCTTGAACGTTGAGCAACTTCTTTAACGCACTGTGTCCTTAAGCTACAATTCCTTAACGCAACAATCAAAATAATTTTGATTGATATTTTTAGATTAAAGCCGAAATGAATTTTTTTTAAACTTTGGAATGAAGCGCTGCAATATTTTATGTTAAAAAGCTATATAGTAAATAAAGTTCCCTTTTCGAACCTGGTGGTCCATGGGGCAAGTAGAGTTCACTTGTTTCTGTGACCTCTACTTTCCTTAACGGACTCAGAGACGTTTAATTAACATTAACCCGGATTCGAACTCGAGACTTTCGAGTTAGCAGTATAACGCTCTTCCACGCTAGACCACACCGTCCCGAAAAAAAAAGTATTAAAAATTTGCTAATATATCTTCAAATCATTATCTCAATTATAGGATTTTTGTCTTCACCAAAGACCATGTCATTCCAGCTTCGCCCATCTCCCTGAATTATCAGTTCAACTCTTGATGTTCTTAAGCGTTTTATGTCACATCTCCTGTGCATTAAGCTCTAAGACTTGCCTTTTTTTCTGAACGTGTCTGATCCATCCCCGCTTGTTTTTAAATATTTATTTTCTAAACCGGACATTTTCGGTTAAGAGAGGGATCGTGAATGGATTTAGTTCGTACCCCGCTTACACACTGTACTATAAAAAGTGTGTGTGTGTGTTGTTCAAAAGTCTAAACCCCAAGTAAACTCACTACCTAAAACCATGTTGTGTAACAGCCTAATGCACGCCCTAACATTATTAATTACTGTATAGTATCAACGCATGTCTATTGAAAGTAAATATTTTATTTCCCTCACATTTACACACAAAAAAAGAAAGCACGTACACCCTTTCCCCACCCCCAATAGAACAAAATGGAAAAAAATCTAATTATAATATATATACTTTTCCTAAACCGTAAGTCTCGAGTTCGAACCCTCGGGCAAATGAGGCTCGTTAGCTGGGGACAGCCACTATTCTAGGAGAGACAACACAGTCAAACAACTGCTGCCTTGTAGTTTGTTCTTGGTTGGACAAAAGGCTATGGAAGCAAATCCAAAAAGAAAAGCAGGCTGAAATCGGAGTCAATAGCCTCAATGGCGCATAACCAGTTGACACGTATACTTAATTGTGCTGGAGGGGATCCCTTCCAACACTAAAATCAAGAACGAAGAAGAAGAAGATATATACTTTTAATATACTTTTTAATATACTTTGTGTCTTGGGCACGAACGAGACAATAATGATGATATAATTAACCAGAGTCCGCTACCTACCAGTGTTTCTTCCAGACTTTTTTCTCCGGGGGGAGGGGGGGGCACTTGATACTTTCGGGGGGGGGGGCAGACACTGCTCAAAGTATATGTCTTCTATATACATTCCATGTCGTTCGGGGGAGGGGGGGCGGTAGACTTTTTTCGGGGGGCGAAGCCCCACCGAAGAGGTGCCTGGAGGAATCTCTGCTACCTACACCAGACATTTAAGTGCGCCCCCTATCCATGCAAGTTTTAAAATTCCCACCCTCTTTACGAAGAAAAAATGTCTGAAAGAAACAACATCACCAAGTCTAGAAGACAAAATATATCAAAGAATGGACGCGTAAGTTCCAAGCAATCAGTGTTTCTTCCAGACTTTTTTCAACGCGGGGGGGGGGGGGGGGCTCTTGATATTTTCGGGGGGGGGGTCAACATTTTCCGGGGGGGGGGCGGACAATGGTAAAAGTATATATTTTCTATGTAAATTCCATTTCGTTCGGGGGGGGGGGGGCTGTGATGCCTGGAAGAAACTCTGAAACTCTGCAAGCAATGAAGTACCCACCTTACAAGCTGCGGGGATATCCAGATCTATATCCTTCCTCAGGTCCACCATCTCAAACGGCATCCCTAGCAGGCAGTTCAGCAGATCAAACGACGCCATCGCCATGATGAAGCTCTTGGTGGTCGAAGGCGGAAACCGGAAACCGTACACCAGAATCACCAAGGCGTTGCCTGGCAACCCGACCAGCATTAGAATAGCCAGCAGAATGTACGTGGGCAGTTTCTTCACGACTTCGCTGTTTTCTTCATCTAAGACGTGTTCCCACAGCTCTTGTGGCGTCAGGTTGTGGAATCTCTCCAAGTTTTCGGAATAACAAATTTCGCCTTCCATTTCTATTTGATTTGTAAACAACTAACAATAACCTTACTGGTTTCTTGAAATCCAACACAACTTTTTTACCAAGTCAACAGCCAGCTGATTCACTGCCGTTCGCGTCATGTCCAGTTTGTACACTACTTGTAAACGCTATTCACAAACAAAGGGAGGCTATCCTAAACAACCACTTATTTTATAATTTGCTGGTTGTTTTATTTTTCTACTGGCGAGACGAACTAGTTTTTATACTGTAAACACTTCATTATTTTACAAAGAACGTATAGGCCTACATTTTACAACACAATACTGTTAGGATATATATTTGAATTGCTGTGATTTAAACAAGATATATACTTATATTGAAAAAGCGGCTCACCATTCTATTTACAACATTTACTAAGTGATTGGTCATAACCGACAGCAATTATCATTAGGGATGATTAATTATGTTGATGCGTGGACGGTGGGAATTTTCTTCCAGCATTTAGTAATTAAATACTAGTCCTATATTATTTAAGGTGTAACCAGAAACTGTGTTTTGATAGATGAGTGTTATTGTGAAAGCCTTAGCATAGGGAAGTGCAATGTGCTAGGCCTACAACCCAACCCTAAAAGATGTAATGTGCCATAACCCAACCCTAAAAGACGTAATATGCCCTAACCCAACCCTAAAGGACGTAATATGCCCTAACCCAACCCTAAAGGACGTAATGTGCTACAACCCAACCCCAGAAGACGTAATGTGCATCAAAAGGGATATAAAATTAACAAGCGGTTTTTTATTAGAAAGGAAAAGGTGTCACCAAACCGCATATATATATATATATATATATATATATATATATATATATATATATATATATATATATATATATATATATATATATGTGTGTGTATATGTATGTATGTATATATGTATAGGCCTATATATATATATATATATATATATATATATATATATATATATATATATATATATATATATATATATGTGTGTGTATATGTATGTATGTATATATGTATAGGCCTATATATATATATATATATATATATATATATATATATATATATATATATATATATATATATATATATATATATATATAGGCCTATATATATATATATATATATATATATATAGGCCTATATATATATATATATATATATATATACTCATATCTGGGGCATCCCAACATGGATACCGCTGCGTTATGTGTATACATACATTTTATATCACTTTTAGAGTAAGGATTTAAGTTTGGATTGGGGTTAGTGTCATTTTTGGGTTTAAAGCTATAATTATGGTTATTATTTCAATATGGGAAAACATAAGCGAGAAGAAAAAATATTTTTAAGCAGTCATTCTTTTAATTTTGTTCAGCCAATTGAGAGCAAATGAATTGAATTAGTTGTTTCTTTTATATTTTCATTTAATTGGCATGACGTCATTAATTTTTTAATGTATGTCTTGTGTGTCGGTGTTCTTAATTAAACACAACAAAACACAGCCAGGTTTAATAAAAAAAAGATTACATTGGCAAATAAAAACTTGACTGGCTAATTAACAAATAATTAATTAATCCACGAGCCGGATCTGGGGAAACCAAACATCACCACATCAATCAGATAGGGGGCGCTGTACAGGTCTTGTGAGTCACACCTGGTGGGGGTCCAGAGTTTCTTCCAGGCATCTCATTGCGCCCCCCCCCCCCTTTCCGAAGGTTTATCGCCCCCCCCCCCCCCTTTCCCCACCTCCGAACGAAATGGAATTTATATAGAAAATATATACTTTTTCACCTTTAGGAACGAGGGATGTGAGCCCGAACAGAATCACACCAGTAAAGGTGGTGACACCAGTACAGGTGGTGACACCAGTACAGGTGGTGACACCAGAGGTAGTGACACGAGCAGAAGTCGTTATACCAGCATAGGTGGTGACACTAGCAGAAGTGTTGACACCACTAGAGGTGGTAACACCAGATAAGGTGGTGACACCGCTAAAACTTTTGGATATGGCCACTCAACTGTATTAGGACATTGCTCCTATATTAAATGGGAACTTCTAATGTAGAATGTAATTCATTTAAAACCCGTATCATTTACTACAGCACCAGATTAGTTCCCCTACTTATCATCAAAGCACCCAATTACGTCCTTTACTTATCATTACAGCACCAAATTACGTCCCTTACTTTTGTATTGACCTTTGTAATGACGAAGGTTTCACGTGATAAAAAAAACCTCATTTCATAAAGAAAACTTAACAAGTTTAACGATAAATAATAACATCTTCAACACTGTAAACAATTTAAAATTAAACGACACACCCCCAAGAACTGCTTGAACTGGTTCGCGCGTTGTGTTGTATAATATATCTATGGGAGCCCGACGTTTTCCCGAAAGACACTTGCCCGAATGCCGTTTTCCCGAAGGCCGATTTCCCAAATGCGACAAATGCCCGAATGGACACTTGTCCGAATGCGACAAATGCCCGAATGGACACTTGCCCGAATGCGACAAATGCCCGAATGGACACTTGCCCGAATGGGACAAATGCCCGAATGTCGTAGACCCTTTATCTATTACATTGTCGATATTTTCTCTTGTAAATCACATAAGAACTTTAAGTTTAATGGCTTATTAGGTCAACCCCAAACCTTCAAGTTTGATATTCTTTTGTAAAGCTCTACTTAAGCCTGTTAATATATTCATCTACGAATCAGCTGAAGATTGATGTAAAAATAATTATTCTATGATTGTGTCATTACAGAGGTGTCTGCAAACGAGACTTGATGCACGCAGACATATATGAACACATGTTGGAGCAACTGGCCCTAGAGAGGACATTGTGGAGACTGACCGTGCGGACTGGCACCCTCATCGCTGAAGGGAAAAGGGGAGAGGTAGTCTCTAAGGGGAAAAGAAGGATCAAATCTGCCCAAATGGTAAACAATGATCTGCAATAACTGTAGCAGCGATGGCCACTCCAGAAGCGGCATGATCTGCCATAACACATCTTGTACCAAAAAAAGGACATCTTACTTCCAGTAGCGTAGCGAGGGGGGGGGGGGAGGGGCGGAGGGGGACATATGTCCCCGGGCGCCGACCTTAGGGGGCGCCAAAATGGGTTGGAAAATTAAATTGAAAGGTTGAGGGGGGGAGGTGCAAATCGAAATCTTGAGGGGGGTAGAAATCGAAAGTTTGAGGGGGGGGGGGAGAGGGGGTGCAAATCAAAATCTTGAGGGGGGGTACAAATCGAAAAGTTTGTCCCCGGGAAGGGTCGCTACGCCTCTGCTTACTTCTCTGGGCGCATATTCAATGTCTCTCAAGGCAAAAGGAGCGCTATGATATTAATACATTATATAATGATTTTTTTTAAAAATAACAATTGACGTCTCGCTTTTAATTAGCTGATTGCCCCCCTCCCCTCTATTGTTATACTTAGTCATAGTCAGACCCTCTCTGCCCCCCTAAACGACGTCACACTTCAGTATACCGACCACCCCCCTTCTAAATTAAAATGGTAACTGATTAAGCCATTGTTCCATTACAATTTATAAAATCTAAGCTAAAAAACGAGATAACTGTCATAATTCAGCATTAGAATGTAGGGCATACTTTCTTGCTCTTCTGTCACACTTCGTCATAAATCCACCCCCACCACACCCCGCCTTTTTTTTTCAGTTATCCCCAATGGAATATCTTGTACGGGTTTAAAATTATAGATTGGTCTATATAGCTATAGATTCCGATGTACACATACCAGTGACGTAGCAAGCAGTGTTTCTTTCAGACTTTTTTCTCCGGGGGTGGGGGGACTTAAAATTTTAGAGGGGGGGGGGGGCGGACTAAATTTTCCGGGGAGGACCACTGGTAACCGTTAATTACGCCACTGGCCCATACATTCTACCTACACGGCAGTAGTTCATGTTGTGGGTGCGAGGATACTGTACAAGTGCCGGTTTTACTCCCAAGGGTTGTGATTGAATTAAGGCTAACGAGTAGGCCTACATATCAACCAGGCATAGTTCACGGTGCTAATTAAATTAAGGCTAACGAGTAGGCCTACATATCAACCAGGCATAGTTCACGGTGCTAATTAAATTAAGGCTAACGAGCAGACCTACATATCGACCAGGCATTAGTTCACGGTGCTAATTAAATTAAGGCTAACGAGTAGACCTACATATCAACCAGGCATTAGTTCACGGTGCTAATTAAATTAAGGCTAACGAGCAGACCTACATATCAACCAGGCATTAGTTCACGGTGCTAATTAAATAAAGGCTAACGAGCAGACCTACATATCAACCAGGCATTAGTTCACTGCTAATTAAATTAAGGCTAACGAGCAGACCTACATATCAAACTGGCATTAGTTCACGGTGCTGATTAAATTAAGGCTAACGAGCAGACCTACATATCAACCAGGCATTAGTTCACGGTGCTGATTTAATTAAGGCTAACGAGCAGACCTACATATCAACCAGGCATAGTTCACGGTGCTAATTAAATTAAGGCGAACGAGCAGGCCTACATATCAACCAGGCATTACTTCACGGTGCTAATTAAATTAAGGCTAACGAGCAGACCTACATATCAACCAGGCATAGTTCACGGTGCTAATTAAATTAAGGCTAACGAGCAGACCTACATATCAACCAGGCATAGTTCACGGTGCTAATTAAATTAAGGCGAACGAGCAGGCCTACATATCAACCAGGCATTACTTCACGGTGCTAATTAAATTAAGGCTAACGAGCAGACCTACATATCAACCAGGCATTACTTCACGGTGCTAATTAAATTAAGGCTAACGAGCAGACCTACATATCAACCAGGCATTACTTCACGGTGCTAATTAAATTAAGGCTAACGAGCAGGCCTACATATCAACCAGGCATTACTTCACGGTGCTAATTAAATTAAGGCTAACGAGCAGACCTACATATCAACCAGGCATTACTTCACGGTGCTAATTAAATTAAGGCTAACGAGCAGGCCTACATATCAACCAGGCATTACTTCACGGTGCTAATTAAATTAAGGCTAACGAGCAGGCCTACATATCAACCAGGCATTACTTCACGGTGCTAATTAAATTAAGGCTAACGAGCAGACCTACATATCAACCAGGCATTACTTCACGGTGCTAATTAAATTAAGGCTAACGAGCAGGCCTACATATCAGGCATTACTTCACGGTGCTCATCACAACTACCATGAAA